AGCTTGTGCCAACAGAGCCCAGCAATCGCTCTCGTGTGCGTTCTTCTCCCTCTTCCCCTAGAAACCCATAAATCTGCAGAGGGATGCTCATAACATCTTTATCCATAGTAACCAAAATGCAGAACCAACCCTTGAAGGAGCACACTGTGTGAGCCCCCTACCATGAATGCAATCCAATGACCAACTATGAGTGGAATTCTAAGAAATGACACTGAAATTTTTTTGTTGTTTTTTGCTTTTTGTTTTGTTTTGTTTTCAGAAAGAACAAAGAAAAAGGCTACATGACTATGTAATTCCATTTATTCAACAATCTTGAATGGCAAATCTTGGGAGAGGTGGCCAATACAGTGTTGTCAAGGGTCACCTGTCATCCTCAGGAGCAGGGAGACTTTGGAGGGTCAGCAGTGGTGGTGACTACCCAAAATTTCATCTGTGTGGTGGTGGGGGCGGGGGATACTGGAGATAGGGGCAGGGATTCTGTCCGTGCCATACCCATATCCTCTAATGTGGCATTGTCGGTAGTTTCAACAATTGTTAGGGAGGGGCCTGGGAGCTGTAGCTCAGTTAATAGAGTTCTTGCCTCGCCTCTAGGAAGCCCCGGACATGGACTTGATCCCCAGCACCGCATAAACAGGAGTGACGGTGCAAGCTTGTAACCACAACTCTTATTTGGAAGCTGGTGGTTCAAGGTCATCCTAGACCACCTGCTAAGTTCAAGGTCCAGCCAGTGCGGCCTGAGACCCTGTTTCACAAACAAACCCACCAAAAAAAAAAAAAAAAACCCTGCATTTTTCTTAGAACTGCACGGTGAATCCACACTTTTTTCAAACTGCGTGAGTGCTACCGGACTGTATGTATTCTTAAACATGCTACATGCCTCGACACACACAAAGACAAGGGAAAAGTGATTATTTCTTATATTTGGGGACAGTACCACGCTCCTAAGTGTCATCCCCTCACGTTGCTGTCAGCGACTGTGGGGTGTTGGATTTAGGAGTGGGTGAGGAGGATTCAGGGCCTGGACGCGCCACGATCAGGTGTGTGGAGAGGTGGGCGTTGATATGAGCGAGAGGCATGGCCCAGAAAGAAAGCGCCAGGGCTAAGCGTCCCCTCTTGTCAAAGAAGGTGACAGGCTAAGAAGGTACCATGCAGAATGTCAGTTGGGGAAGGGTTTTGGGAGAATGCTGGAGCCTCGGGAACGCCCTCCCGTGCACCTTTCAGGAGGCAGTGGGCAGCGAACGAATCCCCTGGAGCAGTGACCGAACCCCGCCATGCCCAGAACCAGGTAAGCAAGGGACCCGCCGCGGAGATGCGGCCTCCCGGCAACCACCCACAACGTGCTGGGCAGTGCGGTTCTCAGAGGCGGCGCCGGGTCTCGGAAGCTGCGGAGGAGACGCCAAGGAGGCTGAGAGCCTGGGGCGGGTGGGGCGTTGCGGAGATCTCGCCGGCGCCAGCCGAGTAGCAGCGGCTGGCTGAGGGCGCGCTCACCGGGGCACGTGGGTGTGCAGCCACCGGCGCCGCCCGGCCTGCGCTCTGCAGCACCTCGGAGCGGATGCAGGCGCCGGAGCAACAGCGCTGGGCAGGGTTGGGATACAGCCCGCACCGCATCCTGGCCAGACGCCTGGAGGCGCTCTCCACGCGCGTCCCTTCTCTGCTGCCCTGGCCTTCTTAAATTTCCGGAATGGAAAGCCGTAAAACGGGAGGCTTTGTCCAGGGATGGCTGGGGACACCAGAGCTTCTAAACCTTTAGCTCACACCCTGACTAGGGGTGGTGGGGAGGAGACAGATGGACATTGACCTGTGGAACCACCTTGGGTTTTCACAGGAACTCTATCAGCAGCTGAGCCCGGGACCCTGGGGTAGCCGGCGGGTTCCACGTGGGTACACTCGGAGCTGGGGTAGCCATAGCCCGGCTGCGAATCGCCGTCGTTGGCGCTCCGCAAAGGCTGCTCCCAGTTCTAGGCATCCACGCGTGCCTGGTACGGGTGCCGCGGAACCCTCTGGGGAAGGAAGGTGGTGGTCGGGATGAGAGGTGAGCAGTCAGCGAGGAGGGGGCAGAAGGCACTAGAAGGTAGCGGTCCCACTGTCGCAGCAACGCTGCAGTTGGCTCCGTGGAGACGACAGGGGCAGTAAAGTGCCTGCCAGGCGCACGACGGTCCTGGCAGGGCCTTGGTCCGCTCTGAGAATGAACAGAGGGGAAAGGGCAGGCCCAGACTCTTGCTGATGCTAGCCGACGTGCAGAGAGTTGGTCATAGGGACTTGGAGGAAGAGGGGCAAGGGGGACAGAGTCTGTGCTATGGAAGGGAGTGGTGACACTTAGCACAGTTCTCGAGAGCACGCCCGCAGCCTGGAAGCTTCTGAACTCCATCTTATCCCGGGACCCCTCAAGCTGCCATATGTCCCCTTCCACCACGCCCTCGTCGCAGCTTTCCAAGATTAACCTGTCGATACTGCCAGCTCCCTTTTAGATTAAAAACTAGGACAAAATCTGCACTTTATTAACCTGCCCCACCCATCACCATAGAGCAGCTTCTCACAGCTCACACCAGGTGTAGTCACTCCAAAGACACAGTTCCGCAGACCTCGGATCGAGCTGCAGGAGAGCATTGAAGCAAACACTCTGCAGCGACCGGTCCGGTTCAATGTCACCCCCTTCATCCCGGTTGCAGTGCGCTTTCTCAACAGGGCGTTACCCTGTAGACGGACCAGCCGGGTCGCAGCAGGGCCCTGCCTGCATCCAGCCTCTGCCGCCGAACACCCCTACCCTTCACCGTAAGGCGTGTCTCCGCCACACACACCCCTGCTCCGAGCCAGCTGCATCCGACTCCTCTCAGTGCTCCCCAAGGGCAGGGCGCGAGAAAGTCCAGGATCTGACCACACACCTTCAGCTATGCGGGACCCATCCTGTGTAGGTTTGTACGTTTAACTACACAACCGTTTCCAGACGTGCAAGATAATGCATTGGAGCGAGGGTTCAAAAACACATCCTTGAGGCTCTGAAGGGGTATTCATGGCCTCTCTAGGCTTCTGTATACCTCATCTTTGAATCCAGATCCCTGGAATTATCTCTTCAGGCCTTGCCACAAGGGTCGGGTATTCTCACAGCTTCCCAGAGAGATGTTTGGGAGAGCAAGTTTAATTGTGAAAACCCTACGATCTGTGTCTTCTGATTTCTTGGCCATAACCAACTTTCTATTTTAAAATGGTGGTTAACATCAAATTAACACCTGAGAGCCCAGAACACCCAGCTTCCTTACTAAAAGGTACTGGTGTGTGTGTGTGTGTGTTTTAAATGAATTAGTCCCCCTTTTATGTAGTGTTGTTTGGAGAAGGACAGAGAGGCATCCGCTTGATACAAGATGCTCCTTAATTTGACAGGTCCGTTTCCTTTTACATTTCCTTCTCTCTCATGGGTAGCTTTCCAGCATCCTCCAAAGTTCTATCTAGCATTGTTACCCGAAGCTTTACATAACAATTAAACTTCCTACTAAGCAAACCTGCTGAACATTTGTTCTGTGCCCAGCGAAGCTAAGCACTCAGAGGACATGAAAAGGTTGGGGACAGGCCCTCTGGGTCGAGGTGGGGGTAGCTTCGCGGATAGAGGCTGGGAGTGAAGGTGGAGCGCGAAAGGACCAAGGGCCAGCCAGAGTCCGGTCTTCTTTCCTTTCGTGCTTTGGACTCTGCAGTGGTCACCTTGGGCGGAAACCGCACCCATGACCAAATCTAGTACAGAACTCCTTTGGACAGAAGTTAGAAAGAAGCTAAGGTAGAGAGAGACAGTTTGCTTCCAATAATCGCATTAGTATACCTACAGTACCGCTCAAGCGGCGAGCAGACGCGGGATTCACCGTCCCCACGTGCTGCTGGGGTTGGCGCAGACCAGTCCATGGGCACCGCGGCGGACGTGACACCGCATTTTCTCCGAATTCCTGCCATCTAGGATGGTGCAACCAAGGGAGGGGGTCATGGGGAGGTGGCATGCGAGGCTGCGGAATCCGCTCTCTGCAGAGAACTGAAGCTTGGAACAGCGCGAAACTCCGAAGGCGTTCACATTCAACAGAACAGCAACGCCCAGTTGTGGGTGGTTAATAGCTGGCTTCCCACGGCCAGGAGGCATGTCCCTGGCGGCACCGCTACCTTATGTTTTAGTTTGATCTTTACTGGGTCTTTGCTCCCCTAGGCTGCGGACTGGACTTGCGAGCAGAAGGCCACTGCCCTCTCTGGGGAGGGTGGACCTTCAAATGCGGCTCCCTTTCCCCCCCCAGGGGGTCAGCTAGAGTTCCTAGCCTTCTAGACCTGAGTTATCCGGCATCCCCGGGCGTGGTCCAGTCCTGGGGGTTGGGGGTGGGGGGCTTTCTAGCCTTGGAGCTGAGCCCTGTCTACAACGCACCGCCTTAAGCAGCTCTCCCCGGTACTCCATACCGGTGCTCAAAAGAGGGGAGAAGGGAAGGGGAGGGGTCACTCTTAACTATGAAGTGACAGTGGTCTACCCGGAGTGTGTGTGTGTGTGTGTGTGTGTGTGTGTGTGTGTGTGTGTGTGTCTCGCAGCGGAGGAGGGAGGGTTCTGCTGTCAAGGGCAGGGCGGAGGACAGTAAAGGCCGGCTGGTAGAATGAGAGAGCTTTCCCAGGTTCAGCTGCGGTGATCACCCGGCACTGCAGCTAAAGGGGCTGGTTGCACCCTGCGTGCTCCCCCGCCTTCCCTGTGTTCCCCGGCTTTTCCAGGAGGGAAGATGGGGTGCCCATAGCGGGTGGGGCGCGCCGGGCTGCCCAGCCGGGCGATCACGTGTCCCCCATTCCCCCCCCCTCCCCCGCTACTGCAGCGGGAGTTCCAATCAGAGCGCGCCAGGGGGCTCCTCCCGGGCAGGAACCACCCGGCTCAGCGGCGCGGGGTGGGCCGCCGTCACCTGACCGCCCGCCCCCGCCCCCCGCGAGTAAGGGGCGGTGGTAGCGTCTGCTCGGTTACAAATGGCCCCTCCCGCCCCGCTCGCCCGCTCGCTCGAGCTCGGCGCGGACCCGCCCGGGACCGCTCCTCGCAGCAGATGCCTGGGTCCCACCGCCCTACCCGGCGCCCGCTATCCGGCCACCTCGGAGGGCACGCTCAGATACCCGGCCACCTCAGTGGGTGCATCGAGCACCCTGTGATTCGACCACACGGCGAGGCGTGCTGGTCACTCGGGTGGGCGTGCTGGGCTTCTCTGCGGCGGAAGTCTAAACCACAGTGTGACTACCCTTCTAGCAGTAGGTGAGTGCCCAGAGGGAGCGCAGGCTTGGGATGCTCTCCGACCGTGTGGGGACCCCGGGGTCTTCCGAGGCACCGGCGGATTGCTGTAATGACTAAGTCAAGCTTGCCGAGGGAGTCCGAAGTCGCTTGCCTTATGGGCCTCTTTAGGAGTTTCCCCAGTCTCTGGTTTGGGAGAGAGCTCTTTGCTTGGAAGAATTCTCCTCTTGAGATACTTGACAAAGGTTGAAAAGACACTCAGGTGGGAGCCGGTAGCTGCAGCTAGCTGGCGCGGGTTGGGCACTGCCGCCTGTGAGTCTAAATGTGGGGGGCGGGGGCCCTTGCAAAAATCAGCCCCAGATAGGGCGAAACCTCTGCGTCCGGTCACTCTGTCCCCAAAAGCCACTTGAAATGCCAAGGAGAAAGGGAAACAGTGGTTCTAGTTGTTGTATGCTGACCAGCCAACCCCCTCGGTTTCTGATCTACCTCTGTAGGTTTCTGATCTACCCCTGTACTGCAGGTGATTTTTGCCAAGGAGGTGTGAGACTTGAAGGCACCTAGGAAATATTTTTACTTTATGACTTTTGAGCAGAAATATGTGTTAAAGTGTTGAATTAGGAGGAAAAAATGTGAAAAAATCATTTAAGTAGCCTTTATTTGTAAAGTTTTTGTTTCAAATAAAAGGCAGCATAGGTGTAGGTATTTAAAATCCTATTTTGCATTTGTACCTTTGGTTTTATGACTCTGGGTTGATTTTTTCTTCGTAGAGAGTTGCATCCATATATTTCTTATAACCCTCATCCCTTCAAACAAAATCCTACAAAATAGAAATAAATAAATACCAAGGTGTGTGTGTGTGTGTGTGTGTGTGTGTGAACAGAACTGGAGAAAGCGGTTCTGGGGAATAGAAGACAGCCTCCTTTGAGTACAGTGATGGCCAATTTAATTTGTCATATGCCACTGAAGGGAATGTCAAGCTGATAACATGCAGACTGGAGAGAAAATGAAGTAGGAGTTGCCGGTGAAGGAAGAAATAGGCCCTAATCCAGTTACACTCAGGAAAGAGCTGAAGGCTGAGCCCTTCCACACTGGAGCCTCAGTCTGTCTTGGTAGAGGTGGAGGGGCGGAGGGAGGCAGTTTGAAATGCAAGTGCTGAGTTCAGACGCCAAGAAGCATAGAGATGATGGGGGGGGGGGCGAAGGAGAGAGAGAGAGAGAGAGAGAGAGAGAGAGAGTCAAGATTGGGAAAATGGGTGTGTCCAAAGACAGCTCTTGCCCATGTACTCCAGCTACACTGTCTGAAGGGTTCAGAGGTCTGCTGACTCATAAGGAGGAGGCCAGCACAGTTAGATTTTACTTTTAGACCTTAACCATACTTGCAATTTTTTTTTTTACAAATAAAACATATAATAAGCCTTATCAGAGAACTCAGTCTCCTCACATCTCGACTCTAGGAGATTTTCTCCTGGGATTTTATATTCAGCCCCTTTATTTCAATGCCCGCCATGCATGCTGGTGCACACATCTCATTTGACTTGACACAAAGGTTTTCATCTCCATCTTGATATTAGAAACAGTGACACCACCCTTAACCACGCGATTATGTCCAAGGTATTGTTGAACATATTGGAAAACTGGCATGTGGGCAATTTAGTTTCTTAACAGCAAAGATTCTCTGTGCCATTGCATTGCAAGACCAGGGAGCCCCACCCTGTTTCTGAGCCTCTGCATGCAACCAGAGAAGGAGCCCTGCAATTGCAGTCGTGCAGGGCGAGGCTCTGCCAGTCTTGGGTGTTGCCTGCACTGTGTGTTCACCCATATTCTAGGGGGAAGTCTTCGACTCATGTGCCCGGCTTCAAAGCCTGATATTTCTCCATCTCACCTGCCAGCTCAGCAGGAACACTATTTATAATAACTTTGAAAGGCTGCTTTTGATGAAAAGACACAAAGTGAGAACTGTTTCCAAACTTAAGGTCTGGGAGGCTGAAAGACAAGATAGAAAAACAGACGGCCAAGGCTGTGGATCTCCTGATAAAATTTCCTTATTAAAAAATAAGGTTTTGGGGTTTTTTATTTTTTTGTCTTGTCTGATGAGGTTTTCAGGTAATATATAGAATAAGCCAGCATGTGGGTTAAGTCAAGAGCCTGGTGTCGTCATGAGGACAGGAGGAAGAAATAATTGAGTGGACTAACCCTTCCCTGCAAGGTCCGCCAAGGAGAACCAGGGCAAGCCAGGCCACCTGACTAGAGGAAGACCACCTCTGCAAGACAAGATTTCAAATCTATAGGAAAGAAAGTGTTGCAAGCCCTTTGAAGAAAAAAGGCATTATGAATTCATAATTGCTAATCCCCATGGCCGCCGTCCTGCGCATCATCTACCGCAGACAACGGGGCTGACCAAGAGGAAGGAAGACCAAAGCTTTTCTACTTTCCTCAATTTTTTTTTTCTGAAAGATGCTTGCCCACTTGGTTACCATCCATTCTTAAGGCAAATACATGATTTTAAGAGGAGAAAGAGGTACTTCTCACCTGATTGCTAGAATGAGCTAGCACATTTCCAGATCTGGCTGGACCTGTTAGCACTTCTCTCAGCCATTACTCTGAGTGTAAATTGCATGTTCCTTTTTAAACTGATCATTCAAGTTCAAAGCTGATGAAGCTCCTTCTGTTCCCTCAACACCCCCCCCCCCCCCGCATTACATTATCTTACCCTCTCTTAAATCTACGAAGTATGCCTACAATCCCAGCACCTTGAAGGCGTTGAGTCATAGGAACAAACAATCAAGGAAATTGCCTGCGATTGCAGGTCATTCTAAAATCGAAATGACTTCAGTGGCTTCGGGACTCAGATTGGCAGGACGGCTCAACGCTCTGCTTGGATGCTGGTGCCTTGGCAGCCACGCTCCCAAGGTCTTCTCCTAAGACATCCAGTAATTATCTGAGGAAGCTGGCACTTCTTGCTTGCTATTGATTGCAGTGTGAGAAGATTCCAGAATATTACTGCCTTGAGTTCCCAGAGTAAATAGACACACACAGCATTGTATGAGGAACATTCCAGAACATCCCAATGAAGCTAGTGATCTGACTGAATTAGCAACTGGACTACTAAAGCACACCAACTAGTCTCATTTTTTACCCCAAGAGAAGCTGTTGTTAGTGAGCACAGGTTTCCCAGGACACCGGAGAGGGTTGAAGGACAAAGGGGTGTGATATCTGACTTGGAGCCAACCTTGAGAATCTCTCTTTTCATTTGGGCATGTCACATCACACTTGTGATTTGTGAGGCATTTGTTGAAAACCCAGTTTGCAAACCAACTGATTTCAGGGAATTTTAGATTTGTAACATCATTAGTTCTTGAGTGTTTGAAAATGGATACAATTTTATTCTCTCTCTCTCTCTCTCTCTCTCTCTCTCTCTCTCTCTCTCTCTGTGTGTGTGTGTGTGTGCGCATGTTGTGTGTTTGAGAGAATGAAAAGCAGTTTTGTAAACCCTGGAAACTGGGTGTGGTAGTGCATGCCTATGATCCCAGTACTCTTGAAAGACTGAAGAAGGAGGATCCATGTTCAAGGCTAAACCTTGTCTCAAAACAGACAAAACACAAAAGCCCCACCCAGGCCAGCGGTCCCCAACCCCAGCATTTGGAATTGCAGCCCTTTTCATTTTAAGAGGCTTTAAGTACTTGCACAGAAATTTCTGCAGGATTCAAGAATGCGCTTCGCATGCATTCTGCCGCATGCACATCCCGTCCTACACAGACTGAGTCTGCTGCTTGGGATTATTTGATTTTCATCTTGAGGAGACTCTGGGGTTCTCAGGAGCCTTTGTAGTTGTGTCTTTCCTGTAGATATTCTGATTCTGTCTAGCTGGGCTATCTCCAGACCATAAGGACAAGCGATGAATGAATATTGGTTTTCCTATGAGCAAGGAAGGTTCGCTCCCTCTCACTCTTTTCAGTGTGTCATTTTTTTAGGTTTCTAATTTGAAAGCAGTCCAGTTCTAGGTGTTTGGAGTCAAAATTCTGTGACAAGTAGCCTCGCTCAGATGCAGCTTAGAAGTCACCCGCTTTGGTTAAACATCTGCCACTCACAGAATCTGCAGACAGCTCTAACTGCTAATGCTCTGACCGTTTTTGCTCTTGCAGGTGTTCTGACCTCCGACTGCTGCCCTCCTGCCCGAGAGTAGTTCAAACTGTAAGTTCAACAAACCAAATAATTAAATATCGATAGTTTAAGAGATCTATACTGATTTTCCAGTCTGTCTACCCAAGATTCAGGAAGAGGGAAAAGGGGTGGAGACCATGGCTTGGTGGGGGGGGGGCGTGTAAAACGGGGACATTTATTTATGACTCAGCCTTATGACTTTCTGTGACAGCCCAGGCCCTTGCAACCCTTACCTGCCTGCCTTTTGCACCCTTCCTTGCTACATTGTAGGAGGGGTGAAGCTCTGGTATCTGGGTAATGCCGATTTGATATTTCCCCGATATCTTTTTCTTTCTGGATGGCCCTGTATGTTCTAATATTTTAACTCAAGAAGATGGCTCCTCATATGTAGTTACCTCCAGATTCAGAAGCTAAATTCTTCGAGGTCAGATGAAATTCGGTGGTTAGCAACTTAACCCCCTACACTAACTAAAATGCCTGCTCCCAGCTGGTGAAGACTGTACTCTTGGGGTGCTATACTAGTAGGTTATAAAATGCAATGTATTAAAGTACCCATAAAGAGACTACATGGTGCAAGAGTTTACAGATTTCCCCAGGACTGGATCTGCCTTCTCCACCTTCTGGGTATCATTGCTTCCAAATGTGACTTTGAGCAAGGGGGGTCATCTGTACTCTGAAGGGGTCGATGCAAGGGGGGACACGCTCTTCCTCCTGTTTCACACACCTTGACATGTAATTTAAGATATTAAAAAAAAATCTTAGCATTTAATGCACTCTGTCAGTGGATGGACTCGGAAGAGCTTTTTTTTTTTTTTAATAGAAAAGACATTTCTCTTATCTTCTCTCTTGTTTTTATGCCGTCCTGTGTCTGCCTCCTTGTCTAAAACAAAAATTTCTGTTGCCATTCAGTTCACTTAATACGACTTCCATCTTTGTGTCTCTGCAGCTCATTGCTAGAACCGCTAATAGACTTTCAACACAAATAGTGTATTGATCACTGAAATCTCTTTCGAGCTTGACTGAATATACATAATGGGGTGTCAATCGGAGAAAAATCTCATAATAAATGGCAGGCGACTTATATTCATGAGAAAAAATGTCTTGGGCAGCACACAAAATATCATGTCTACTGTAGCATGACAGGCTACCCTCGCTGGTCTCGGCCAGTCTCTGCCGCATTCGTGGTGGATGTTTAATCGCAAAGGCAGGGTTAGAATGCCGAGCTCCCGAATCTTCCCTTTCTTTGTTTGTGCGAGAGGCATTTTTGTACACTCCACAGAGTATAAACATCTTCCAGAAGCACCGCCAGCAAGAAAGATCTTTTATACCTGAAGAATTCATAAATTGCAAACAAATCTGTTTAAGTTGATGTATATTTAAAATCAGCTACTGATTTATGCAGTCCATATTTTTAAAATTTTTACCATGTGTGTACCAGGGCATACACACACTGTATGCAAATATTTCCAATGCATGTATGGGAACACACAGTGTATTTAGAGAGAAGCCTGTTTTACATAAATTATTTTTAAGAGCAACCAAACAGAGGAATAGCCATGCATTAGGAAAACCACATTTTAATCCCCCAACCCAACCCCCTTTAAGCTTGCTGTTGGATGACAACATGAAGGAATCTCATTTTTATAATTTTATATGCAATCCTTTAAACTTACTTTTCCTGCCAGAAGTCTTGGATTATTTCTGCAAACCCAGTACCAGAGAGGCTGAGGCAGGTGGCTAGCTATGAGTTCAAGGTCAGCCTGGGCTACAGTGTGAGACCAGTGACAAAACAGTTGAATTACCAGGCTTGATGTCCCACACTGTTAGTCCAAGCACTTGGGAAGCAGAAGCAGGGGCTTCTTGGTGAGTTCTAGGACTGTCTAGTCTACATAATGAGACCATGTCTCAAAACAAAGTGGTCAATCAGTCAATAAAACGGATGGAGATGGCTGGGTTCCAGGAGCTGGCATAGTCTGCTCGGCAAACTATAAGCCAAGGAAAGACCCTGTCTCAAGAAACAAGGAAGATCGTGCCTGAGGAACAACAGCTGGAGTTGGCCACCAACCTCCACACTCACATGCACACACATGTATGTGCACACACATGTATGTGCACACACATGTATGTGCACACACATGTATGTGTACACACATGCATGTGTACCTGCACTTGTGCACAGTTACTACTCCTACTGGGAATGACAGATACTGCTTTTTGTGACAGAGCAGTCACTGAGACATGCTAACGTTCCCATTGAGAAGGGGCCTTCCGGGTGGTGCGGCCCTGGGTCATTGTAGACACTTCTGGCAGAGTCTACTTTCTTTATGCATTGACTTGGAGGCAGTCTCAGGAGGCAGAGGCAGGCAGATCTCTGTGAGTTCAAGGCCAGCCTGGTCTACAGGAGCTAGTTCTGGGACAGGTCCCAAAGTTACAGAGAAACCCTGTCTTGGAAAACCAAAAAATAATAATAATAATAATAATAATGGTTTGGTTTAAAAAAATTATTTAGTGTGTGTGTGTGTTTACAGTTTTCTTGATAGAGCACATACCACCATGTTCTGTGGAAGTCAGAGGACAACTTATGGGAGGCGATTCTTTCCTTCCACTGTGTGAGTTCCAGGGATTCACTCAGGTCATCAGACTCCAGCAAGTTCTAATATACCGTGTGTGTGTGTGTGTGTGTGTGTCTGTGTGTCTGTGTGTGTCTGTGTGTGTCTGTGTGCGCACGCGTGAGGGGGTCAGGAGCATACGAAAAGAACCTGGTGGTTGGAGAGATGGCTCGGCAGGTAAGAGCACTTGCTGCATAGCCTGGTCCTGAGTTCAGATGCCAGCACAAAAGCTAGATGTGGCCGTCTGGGCATCTGTAACTTCAGCGCTCTGTGGACAGACGGGAGGATGAGTGAGGCTTGCTGACTGCCAGCCTAGCTCAAGTTCAGTGAGAGCCTCTCAAGGGACAAGGACCATGACAGAGTAGAACACTGGACGGCCTCTGGCCTCCTTGTATATACATGTGCACACACATGTGCATGCACACACACACACACTGGCCTCCTTGTATATATGTATGCACATACATGTGCACATACACACTGACCTCCTTTTATATATGTATGCACACACACACACACACACACACACACTGGCCTTCTTGTATATATGTATGCACACACATACGTGCATACACACTGGCCTCCTTGTATATATGTATGCATGTATGCACACATGCATGTGCACATACACACTGCCTCCTTGTATATATGTATACATGTATGCACACATATGTGCACATACACACTGGCCTCCTTATATATATGTACGCATGTGTGCACACACACACTGACCTTGTATATATGTATGCACACACATATGCGCATACACACTGGTCTCCTTGTATATATGTATGCACACACACTGACCTTGTGTGTGTGTGTGCATGTATGCACACACACACTGGTCTCCTTGTATATAAGTACACACGCACACTGACCTCCTTGTATATGTATATGTGTATACACACTTGCACACACTCACACACATACACACACTCATACTCTCTCTCTCACACACACACACACACATACACACACACACTGGCCTCCTTGTATAAAAGTACATACGCACACTGACCTTCTTGTATATGTGTATACATACTTACACACACACATACACACACTCATACACTCTCTCACACACACACACTTTATCTCATCTCTGCGGCTTTGGAGATGTGGTAAGCGCGGTGTGTTGTGGTTTTCATGGTTCCCACCTCAGGTGACATTAATACTGATCATTGTGCCCACTGGGGCAAGTGAAACCACTGGGCATTGAGCTCCAGTCTTCCCTTTCCATAGCAAGGACTTGCATCTTTTTCCCCTGCTACTTTGATGAAATGTTCTTGACTCTTTTGTTTGTTTGGTTGGTTGGCTGGTTTTAAGTTTTTGGCTAGCAAATGGGTTGGGCGCAAAGTTTGCTGAGAAAATGGATTATCAGAAAGCTGGTTTTGAGAGATCCAGGGACATGTATTATGGGAAAGCTGCCCTTACCAGCAAATGGTGACTATAAAATATGCCTGATGAATAGTCTATACGTGTCCTTTTGTATGTCAACAACTTGGTTCCAATTAAAACCGTGTAGGGCATGTGTGACTTTCCAGAGTCAGTCAGTCATATAGTTTATGCTTGGAGCCTATCTGGTAAGGCTTTAATGGAAGGTAAAATTCACCAGCCTCGTGAATTTTAGCCAGCAGAAAAGTACATACACAAAAGTTGGAAGAAAACTAGGGCTTCTTGGACGTCAGCGATGAAAGAGAAAATTAAATCCTTAGAGAAAAGAAAATTGGAAAGGAAAAGTATTCCTAAAGAATTTGAGCAGGAAACCTGCATTTGTAGATCTTGCTTGTCTTGAATGTTGGGTGGTTTACACACGCATCTCACTAGAGCAGACGAGAAGAGGATTACACGATCTTGCCTTGGGCCTCTTGGTGCAGGTTGTACCACTGGACCCCACCTTTGCTCACATGACCCATTTCTTCATTGGAAGAACATTAAAGTATCTTTTGGCTATAGCTACCCAGTTTGGTGATATAAATACATAGTCTTCTTAAATAGATTATGTTCTTGCCAGTTTTTAACGTATTCTTGGGCTGAGGCTACTTAAAGATAAACAGAACAAATCTGGTGGAGTTAAAAAACAGCTTCGACACACCTATCAAATTTTTAGTAAAACTTTCACATCATTTAAAAATATATTCAAGGGCCAGGCAGACAGCTCAGTCAATAGAGTAGTAATCTGAGTTATATGCCTAGAACCCGTGTTTAAAAAAAGAAAAGGATGGGGGCAGGCGTGACAATAGACACTTGTAATCCCAGCATTAGGACCGCGGAGACAGGAGCATCCCGGTCTCTTACTTTCCAGCCAGTCCAGCTAAACAAGTAGGAGACCCTGTCTCAGAAAACAGGGTACACACACACACACACACACACACACACACTAGAAAGCAGCAGAATGTGCAGCTGTTTTACAGATGTGAT